GGGGGGGGGGGGGGGGGGACACTCAAGATCGGTCCCAAAGGCAGCATCTTCACCCTGGGAAAGAGAAAGCTGAGTAGAGGGTGAACCATGTTCTTGCATATTTTAGTACTCTCTGTGGAAAGAAAATTTTATTTGCTTTGCAAGTCTTATAAAAGTAGAACAAGAATCAAGGGCAGAAATTCCAGGGAAGGAAAATTAACCTCTGTGAATTGAACGCTCTTGCCCATTTGATAGTGAGCTCCCTGCCCCTAGAAGTTTTCAAATATATACACACACTCTCCATTCTACACATGTAACAATAATATTAAAACTCTAAAAAATAAAAAACAAGATATTTGACGTTAGGCCAATTGGATTCTTTAAGCTGGGCTCAGAGATTTGGGCAGATAGGACAATCTAGGCTCTGGTTTAATAGCTACAGTTTCAGATTCAGTGTCTGTAAGAACATTCACTAGATTTAGGTTGGGCAAGGTGTGACCTGTATGGACCAATTGTTTGATGGAGATTCCTGGACCCCCACATGGAACCCCTGATGCCAGCTTCTTGGAGTGGGTCTGAGAATCTGAGATTCAAGATTTCTCCAGGTGACTTTATGATTCTAAATATGATAACCGCATGGTTAAACACCAGACAACACTCCAAGTTAATTTTTTAGAATGCCATGGCATAAGTAAACTTTCCAAGACAGAACTTTAGCACTTTATAAGAACGAGGCATTTTTTGTTTGCTGGACTCCTGGTTCCATGAATCACTCTCTTACTTGCTGAGATTGTCACCCACAATTCCAATTTCTGTGATTTAAATCTACTGAGACCCAAATCTCCAGCATAGTCCTCAGGTGGGTATCAGATCATCTGTGATGCTTATCAGAGTCAGCGGGACCTGTTACAGCATGCCCCACACCTGTAGCATCTGGGGCTGACTGGATGCTCAGGATCCCATCCATCTTTCCATTTGGTCTTAACACTCAGTTTGCAGTGCCTTTTAAAAACATGTCAAAGCTGGATCTGGTGATGTTGTCTTGCAGAATGCCCAAGTGGGTAGTTATAAATACGGCAGTGACTGGAAGTAGCCAATCAGAAGTTTCTGTTGCATAAGCACTGCACTTTTTAAACACTTCCGAATCTGAATGTTTTTAGACATTGTGGGTTTCTGTGTCCCTCCCGGTGTCTGATTCACCACCCTGCTCACCTGTCGATGTGTGTGGTTAAGGTTGGGGTTTGAATTCTGCAGGGAATTCTGCTTCAACAAGTTTCTTCTATAGACTTCTCTTGACCATAGCAGGGTGAGGCTTCTCAGCATTCTGCCTCCATGGCTGCAGTACCACCTCTGTGATGTGGATCAGCTAGGACCTTGGCATTGCTCCATTAAGAACCTCAGCCAGGGGTGGAGAGATGGCTCAGGGGTTAAGAGCATGTACTGTGCTTGCAGAGGACCTGACTTTGGTTCCTAGTATTTATACTGGGTGGCTTACACTGCCTGTAACTCCAGTACCAGGGGATACGATGCCTCTGGTTTCCATGGCACCCACACTTACATGCACATTCCCACATATAGACACATATACACACAATTAAAATAAAATAAACACTCTCTCCAAAGAGACCCACATAAATAAACATATGTGATATAGCCATGCAATAGAATATGATTCAATCTTGAAAGGAGTGGCACACTGACGCTATAGCATGCATGGATGAACCTAAGCAGCTCTGTGCTCAGGAAAAGAAGAACATACATTAAATGATTCCATTTTTTCAGGCATGTCCAACCTTTTGACACTGTGACATGATGCCATCCACAAAGTTCATACTCAAGAACTGTACCATCCAGTTACAAAACAATTGTCGTAAATCTCATGATGTTTTAAGTGCATTTACAATTTTGTATTGGGGCATATTTATAGTTATAGTAAGTCTGTGGGCACAGAGCGGCTTAGTGGTGCCAGTAGCTATAGGCCCACAGGAGTAGAGGCAACTGCTTAAAGAGGATGGAGGTCTTCTTTCGTGAGACGGAGCTAGACAGAGATGATGATTATACAACATTGTGAAAGGACTAAAAGCTACTAAATCACATACTTTG